CTCCAGTCGGCGTTTGCTGTGGGACTTCCCGCCCCTCCCCGCCAGCGCCGCGGGCCGGGCCGCGCCGTAACCCCTCCAGGTCCTCCTCCCAGAGGAGCAGCCGCCCCTCCCTCACCCAACCCTCCCACCCTGGGAATGGGACACCGCCAACCCGACCACGCCCAGCGTGCCAGCCCCTCCCTTCTCAAGCCGCCTCGTCTTCAGTAGCCGAAGCCTCGCCGCCCGCCGGGAGGCCGGCCTCGGGGTGCGCCTGCAACACACGTTTCGTGGCTTGATAGGAGGGCGATCTGCTACCCTAGCCGGCACAAGCACCAGCGCTGGTTGGACTCGGCTCCAACCTCCTCCTTTCATCTACATTTTGACACCTGCTCCTCCGCGTCGAAGCGGGAGAAGGCAAACCCCGTGGCGTAGGGCGAGGGCAGCTCGTACATGGCAGCGCTGCCTTCGATCGCGCCCTCGGCCTGCGCGCTTGTGGTGACGGTGCCAGCGCTCCTGGGGTACCCGTCCCGCTTGCCACGCAGGGTGGTTGGAGCGCCCGGTATTGAACTCGTTCAGCTTCGACGCGTGCATCGAGACGTTTGCCCATTTGCGCTTCGCGCCTTTGGGGGGAGGAGAGTGGGCGAGCAGCAGGGCACCGTGAGCATGCCAGTCTTCCGCTTGAGTTGATTGACCGCGTGCTCAATCTTGACGTTTAGCGTCATCGCTGGCGCCGAGAAGAAGCTGTAGTACGCGCCTGCTCAAAAGGGGAAGGGACACGTGGAGGGGACCTCGACTGTCGCTTGCGGGGCGCACAGAAGGGAAGTGGCTGTGTGCGGGCGCCGTCTCTGCCGCGGAAGTCAGCGCGGCCGCCGTGCGCAAAATGGAGGTGTGGGTCGCCGGATCCGCCGGCGGGCGAGGGCGAGGGTGACGGCGGCGGCGGCGGCGCCGCCCGCGGGGGCAGCGAGGGAGGAGGCGCCAGCATAAGGGGCAGCGAGGGAGGAGGCGCCAGCGTAAGAATGAGGAGGCATTCCTCAAACTCTAGGCATGATGTTCCCACCGCTTCGTCTGCGGAAAGACCCTTCAAGTTGAGCTGGAATAGATTGGCCCCTCCCATATCACAGTCATCAAGAGCCACGATGTCATCAATAATGACAGGCTCGCTTGTGACAGAGTTCGAAGGGCCTTGCAGGCTTTGCAGGCGAGCAGGGATCTCAAGTCCAGGTCCACTAAGAGCTACTCCGTTGTCGTCCAGGAGCCAGCACGAAAGGAAGGTGCGGCCCGTACCAAGACTCCAGAGGAGCAACTTGTCCCAGCTGGCGTTGTCCGCTTCCTTGCACAGCGTACTCGGCAGAGCGCATTCCTTTTCGCCCCCCTTGCACTCGCACGGTCCCCCCGCATAGTCGTTTTGGTTCCCATTAAGGGCGCATGTTGAGCAACTACTGACCAGCATAACGTGCCATTCCGCGCCCGGGGCCGCGTCCGCGCAATTGGGGCACTCATGAGGGGGGTATTCCGAGCACGGCCCATCGGGGCACTCGTTAGCACCGACAGAGGGGGGGCAGACGAGCAACGTCAGCATCGGCGAAAGCGACAGCAACGGGGCTACGCCGTGCCGCTTGCGAGTGCCGGCCATGACTCGTCTCCGTTGGTGTTCCTCGAAATAGTAGAGCAGTACGGCCCTATATGTCGAGTCGTCTTTCCGGCGCGCACGCCCCCGAAGCCGCGAGTGCGCAAGATCCCGTCGTAAGTTTCGTCGATGACAATTTATCGATCCCGGAGCATCTAAGATCCCTCCGATGCGGTCGTAGGCGTCCCACACCCGCGCGGCGAGGCCGTCGTCGAGGCTGCCTCCGGTCGTACTTTGCACGCTGAGGTCAGAGAGAGCGTATGTATGTATGTAGAAAGCGTGCCGCCATCGAGACCGGTCACACACGCCCGAGGCCCAGTCACACGGAGCGCGACGGGTGGCGACCGGGCGGGCAGCGCGAGCGCTAGCAGGGACATATTGCCGGCTTGAGCGGCGGGATGAGCGGCGGGAGCCTGCGTGAGCGTGAGAGCGTCGTGCTTTTGCCGCCGCATCTCGAATTCGTACAATTCTCCTTTCTTTGCTCGCGAGCACGTTTTTCTCTATGCCATGAGCGGCGTCCTCTGCCCAACCCTCATACTCGAAGACCTGGCTCAGGGCGACCTGGCCTCACTGCGCGCCTTCCTTTCCGGGCAGGGGACGAGCGGCACGTCGCTCGCTGCCCAGCTCGACGCACGGCACGATACCGGGAAACAGGACACGCTGCTCACCTGGGCCGCTCGTCACGGGCAAGCCGAGGCGGTGCGGCTGCTGCTCGAAGGCGGCGCGAGCGCCGGAGCGACCGACGGCGAAGGCGCCTCGACTCTCTTACTCGCATGTGAGAGGGGCTACCTCGAGTGCGCCCGGCTGCTGCGCGACGCTGGCGCGGCGGTCAACCAAGGAGACGCTGAAGGCTTCACGCCGCTGATCGTCGCGTGCGAGCAGGGCCACCTCGACTGCGTTCGGCTGCTCCTGGAGGCGAGTGCAGCGGTCAGCCAAGCCAAGGATGACGGCGCCACGCCGCTGAACATCGCGTGCCAGGAAGGGCAGATCGAGTGCGTCCGGCTGCTCCTCGAGGCCGGCGCGGCGGTCAACCAAGCCAAGAAGAATGGCGGCACGCCGCTGTACGTCGCGTGCCAGGAGGGCCACCTAGAGATCGCCCGGCTGCTCCTCAAGGCGGGCGCGGCGGTCAACCAAGCCAAGGAGAGTGGCGCCACGCCGCTGTACATCGCGTGCCAGAACAACCACGTCGAGATCGCCCAGCTGCTGCTCGAGGCAGGCGCGGCGATCAGCCAAGCCATGAACCGTGGCGTCACGCCCCTGCACGTTGCGTGCCAGAACAACCACCTCGACACCGCCCGGCTGATCCTCGAGGCGGGCGCGGCGCCTGACCAAGCCCGCAACGACGGCGCAACGCCGCTGTTCGCCGCGTGCTACAATGGCCACCTCGAGGTCGCCAAGCTCCTCTCCTCCTACGGCGCCTCCCGCGCCGCTACGCCCTTCGGCACGCCCGAGGAGGCCGCAAACCGCGAAGGCCACGCCGACCTCGCCGCCTGGCTGGTCGCCAGCCGCGGCTGGACGCCGCTCCAGCACCTCGAGGCGTGCCCGAGACTATAGCGGCCGAAGGCGTGAGCGCATTGTCCTCACGCGTATTGCACCTCTTCCGCAGGCGCTCACCGTCGAGCGGGCGCGGGCGCTGCTGCGCGGCGGCGCGGACTCTACAGCCGGCGAGCCTTCTGCCCTCGAGCGGGCGCGCGTCCTCTGCGCGTGGGGCGAGTCGGATCCGATCGCTGCGGCCGTCGGCCTCCTCGCTGCTGCCGGAGACGCAGTGTCGCCCCTCGGCGCGCCCCGCCACGCGATTCTGCAAGACGCTCCGGCCACCGGCGACCGCAGATTCCACGCCGCCTTTATCGCCGGCGCTGACCGGTTCGACAATGCCTTTTTCGGCATCTCGCCGGCCGAGGTTGCGGCAACGGACCCGCAGCAGAGGCTACTCCTCGAGTGCGGGCATGCCTCCATGCACTCTGCGGGGCGGCTGCGAGTGCCACATCAGGGAGACGGGGTGTATCTTGGCACCACCGTCGCGATCCACTCTCTCGTCTCGCGGCCCTCGATGAACGGCAAGGTCGGCGTCGTCGTCTCCGCGAGCGCTTCGACGCGCCGCTTCGGCGTGCGCGTGGCGGGCGAGGCCAAGGCACTCGCACTGAGGCGCGCCATGGTCTCTCCCCCACTCGCCGGATGCTCTCTTTCTCTCGACACCCCACGCCTCTGCCCTCCCTCAGGCCGGCCAACCTGCAGCCAGCGGCCGAGGCGGTGGAGGTGGGCAGGCTGGTCCTCAAGGCGGCGGAGTGGTCGCCGCAGTCGCACGAGCTCTTCCCGGAGGCGGCTCGCAAGCGGGCGGTCGAGGTGATGCGGCTGGGCTACCTGATCGCGTGGGACGAGGAGCGCTTCGACAGCCGCGAGGGAGCGGCTCCGGAGCTGGCTGACATCTGGCGCAGTTTTGTGCTGCCAAAGGTGGTGGCGCGATGAGGACAGAGTTGTGTTTGTGTTCGTGGCATCGTGGCAGTTCAACCCCGAAGGGTCCTGCCTGACAGAGTGCGTGTTGTTTTTCTTTTCGATGCGCAGCAAGCAGCTCCACTCTACAGCCAGCCAGCCAGCCTGCGTGTATGCTCGCCTACCTCGCCTGCGTCTCGGCCTTCACCCTGCCGGACGGCCGGGTCGGCCACGTCCTCCGCAGCGAGAGCGCCGTCTCCGACCTGATCCGCGACCGCGTCGCCGAGGAGCGAGGTTGCACACGCACTGCCATCGCCGAAAAGGGCTGCTTCTCCCTCTCCATTGGCTCCGGCACCACCGTCAAGCCGCTCGCGAGCCTAGCGGGCGCGCTCGACTGGCGACCCTGACGGGGATGAGAAGACCTCTACATGCAAACGTCGGAGAGAGAGGCGATGAGGTGAGACAACTGCGACGGAGGGGACTTCCGCGCTTTCCTTCTAACCTTCACTGCAACCCTACCCCTCCCCCCCAGCAGTGTGATAGACGCCCAGTCCCCCTTTCGACCGCGTGCGCGCCCTCTGCGGAATCGTCCTGATGGGGCAGTCCTGACGCAAACTTGCTTGATAGTCCTGCCTGACTGACCTCCTGACCAGCAAACTTGAGAGTCCTGACAGAAACAGTCCTGACAGAAACTTAGGGTCCTGTCCGAGCAAAGAAATCGGCCTCGCCACTCGCCTCGACCACGCTGACAAGGCAAGAGAGGCGGCCATTGGTGCAGGCAACGTCTCACGTGGGAATCGCTCGGAGAGACCGCAAGAGGCCCGTCGTCGCCGCCTCATTTGCGCCCCGTACCAGCACCCGCTACCATGGGCTGCAGCTCATCGACACCTGCCAAGGCTTCGGGCAGCGACGGCGACGTCACCGGCCTCGCTCTCATCCCCGCCTTCACGGCGAAGGCGGTCGGCGTCGAGGACCTCGACGAGACGTTCGAGAAGAGCACCAACATCACCAACGTTCTGTCCGAGCTCAACAACGCGTTTGTGGTGCGACTCCGCCCTTCCCCGCGCCCGTCAGAGCTGTCTCGCCTGGCCTGCGAGCCAATCTTGCCCGGGCACCCCTGTCTCAGGCCCTGGTCAAGGCTCTGCGCGCCGCCATCAAGGCCGCCGTTGCTGTCTTTGCCGATGCGGGGCGGTCGATCAAGGAGTTCATGGCGGAGGTCGTAGCGGCCTTTACTGCGAACATCACGCTCCTGGCCGAGGGATCGTGCCCGATCGAGGTTAACTATGTCAAGCTCGAGAATGCGGGCATCGCCGCCGACCTGTTGCAGGCCATCATGGACGCTGTGGAGGCGGTTGCCTCTGCGGCCCTGCGGCTCACAGAGGTCAAAGACGACATCGATGCGATCGTTGAGACGTGCCAGAAGTACGTCGAGAACCCTTCCGCCCTCACGGAGGCCCTGGCTCCGCTGGCCGCGAATCCGTTCAATCTCGCTACGGCAATGAAAAACTGCAAGAGCAACTTCGCCGTCATCATGAAGCTGCCCAAAAACCTCGTTCTTGTCAACACGAACGGCAAGGCCGTCTGCGGAGAGCTCTCCGACATGACTGGCGCGTCGGAGGAGAAGGCGGGGAAGAAGGCGGCCGCGTTTGAGGTGACCACGGCGAACGCCGTCGAGATTTTCGACAAGGACGCCGCTCCGTGCGTGGCGCTCCTCCTCCCGCTCTACGCGCAGCCCGATGGCGCTGCGAGGACTGCCGCCTGATGGCGACGACGACGATCGTGAGGCGCCTGACCGCGACCCCCGTCCTCCTTCCTCCACGTCACCACTTGCGCCAGCGCATGACGATGCGGAGCACCACGCGTATTTTGCAAGGGGTGGCCTGGGCCTGGCCTAGCGCAGCGAACACACGCAGCGCACGCCTTTGTATTCCATTTTGCGGTACACCGGAAAAGTCCTTGACTTTTTTTCCCAGTGATGTCGGTGAGATGACCCGCGCGAGAGGCTCCGTGGGGCGAGGGGACGGGCGACGAAAAGAATTTAAACAAAACAACTCTCTCTCACAGCAGACAGGCTCGACACAGGTGCGAACTGGCGCGTGCTAGTACTATCACCGGCACACCACCGGAAAGAAAATTCGAAAATTTTTGCGAGCCCGGTGACTCCGGAGAGCACGCTCGTTGATCACCGACCATGCGATTGCGGCAGCTGCTATCCGGCGGCGCTGCAAATCGAGGCAACTCGCTGCATCTCCCTGCACATCGCTGCACCTCGTCGCTGGCAACCAAGCTGCCCGAGGTGGCGAGCGCGGCCCGCTTCGCATCGCGAGTGGACGCGGCGCTCGCGGCGCCTGCACCAGCAGCAGCAGACCTGGCGACACTCGCGCACGACCCGGAGCGCGTGCGGCTGGTGCTGCGCGCGGCGATGGCGACCACGCACCTGCACACGCAAAGCCGCATCGCCGCCTACGAGGGCGAGGGCTACTACACCATCGGGCCGTGCGGCGAGGAGCTGCTTGCCTCAGTCGCGCTCGCGCTGCGGCCGACCGACCCGGCCGCGCTGCACTACCGGCACGTCGGCACGCTGGTGGCGCGGCAGCTGCAGCGCGGCGCGACGCTCGAGCGCGTGCTGCTCGACCGCGCGCGCGGCCACACCATCTCTGTGAACGACCCCGTCACCGGCGGCGTGCACTGCTCGCTCGGCGACGACCCGCAGTTTGACTTCCTGGTGACGTCGACGCTGGCGTCGCAGGGGCCGCAGGCGGTAGGCCGCGCGGTGGCGATCGAGCACCTTCCTGCCGCGCAGCGCTGGCCGTCGGATGCCATCTCCTACGTCTCTTGCGGCGACGGCTCCGTCAACAACTCGGTCCGAGATGCGGGAGATATGGGGAGATATGGGGAGATACGGGGAGATCTGGGCTCCGTCAACAGCAACTCGGGTCGGAGCGCTCGCCGGCTCTATGAGAGATGGGGAGAGGTGGGGAGACATCAGGAGAGATGAGGAGAGGGGAGCGCTCGGTGCGGCTGAGAGACAAGCACAAGCGCATGCCCATGCCCAGCCCAGCCCAGCCCAGCACAGCACAGCACAGCACAGCACAGCACAGCACAGCACAGCACAGCACAGACCAGACCAGCACAGCACAGACCAGCACAGCACAGCACAGCACAGCACAGCACAGACCAGCACAGCACAGCACAGACCAGCACAGCACAGCACAGCACAGCACAGCACAGCACAGCACAGCACAGCACAGCACAACACAGCACAGCACAGCACAGCACAGCACAGACCAGACCAGCAGAGCACAGCACAGCACAGCACAGCACAGCACAGCACAGCACAGCACAGCCCAGCCCAGCACAGCACAGCCCAGCCCAGCCCAGCCCAGCCCAGCACAGCACAGCACAGCACAGCACAGCACAGCACAACACATCGCCTGCCTCCTCCTCCCTCCCCCCCCAGTTCGCTCCTCTCGCCCGCTCGCCGACACGCCTCGCCGCGAGCGGCGTCTCTTCACGCCGGTCGGTGGAGTCCGTAGGAGTGGCTCTCTGCGGTCAACGCCGCAGAGCTCGTCGCGCACCGGCGCCGCGCCTGCCCCGTCCTCTTCTGCGTCTCGGACAACGGCGCCTGCGCAACCCGCCGGCTGAGCACCTCCCCTCCTCTCTCTCTCTCTCTCTCTCTCTCTCTCTCTCTCTCTCTCTCTCTCTCTCTCTCTCTCTCTCTCTCTCTCTCTCTCTCTCTCTCTCTCTCTCTCTCCCCTCGACAGCCCGCGCAAACCCGCACACCCGCCGCCGCCGCCGCCCCACCCCTCAAAGGGGTCTACTCGCGTGCGGGAGGAGAGTCAAGCCCCTCCATCTCCTGCAAGAGGACATGTCCGGGACACTGTCCGAGACAGGTCCGAGACATGTCCGCAGGCCTCTCCATCTCCTTCAAGACGGGCACGTGGACTGCCTCGTGGGCAGAGCAGCGGCTCGGCATGCGCGTCTTCGCCGCCGACGGCACCAGCCTGCCGCAGCTGCTGCGAGCCTCGCAGGACGCCGCGGACTACCGCCATACCTCCCCATCCCTCCCCATGCCTCCCCATGCCTCCCCATGCCTCCCCATCCCTCCCCATGCCTCCCCATCCCTCCCCATGCCTCCCCATACCTCCCCATCCCTCCCCATCCCTCCCCATCCCTCCCCATCCCTACCCATGCCTCCCCATACCTCCCCATACCTCCCCATACCTACCCATGCCTACCCATGCCTCCCCATACCTCTTCTCGCAGGAGGCCGCGGACTATGTGCGTGGCTCGCGCCAGCCCGCCACCCTGCTCCTCTCCAACCTGCCTCGCCGCTTTGGCCACGCCGCGACGGACCGGCGAGATGTGGGGAGATGTGGGGAGATGTGGGGGAGATGTGCGGAGCCGCTTTGGCCACGCCGCGACGGACCGGCTTCCGTGTAGCACGACTAGCACTCGAGCGGAGACGCCCTCGGCTGGCTGCATCTGCGCAAGACAGAGCCGTCTGCACTCGCAGCCACGCCAGCCGTCTGCACTCGCAGCCACGCCAGCCGTCTGCACTCGCAGCCACGCCAGCCGTCTGCACTCGCAGCCACGCCAGCCGTCTGCACTCGCAGCCACGCCAGCCGTCTGCACTCGCCGCCACGCCAGCCGTCTGCACTCGCCGCCACGCCAGCCGTCTGCACTCGCAGCCACGCCAGCCGTCTGCACTGGCAGCCACGCCAGCCGTCTGCACTCGCCGTGTGCG